CGTGCTTGTAATCCTAGAATTTGAGAAATAGAAGCAGAAGGAAGAAGACTGCCAAACATCCAAAGCCAGCATGGCCTACACAGTGAGTTTCAGACCATCCAGCACTACGTGGAGGGAATTTGTCAAACTCAATTTATTTTCTTTAAACAAATATGTCCCATTCAAGTCAAAACCAGTTGTTTAGTTTCCTATGTGTATTATTTCCATTCCAAATTCAGTAATTTGTGGATATAGTTCAGCAGTATCACGCTTTTCTTACATGTGTAAGACCCTTTGTTTGAAATTTAACCCTACAAAACAAAATCAGTAATCGATTTCTCCAAGGTATAAATATTTTTCAAATGGGTTAACTGAAAAGGAAATTATTTAGAAGACCTGTGCTGCTTGAAAACAAAGCAAAACTTAGTCAGTTGAGTAGCTCCAACAGCGTTTGCTTGTATAGTATAGCAAACTTCACTATTTTCGCAGCCATAGAAAACTTTTTAGGACTGTATCGCTATTAAGTTTTTAATTTTTCATTAAGCATACATATGTTGTAAGTTTTTTTTACAGTAATCCTCTTTTTTATGTATCTTTAAAGGGTTTTATATTTATGTTGTGTTAACAACTAAGGAGTAAATTGCTTGTGTTTAAAATGAAGAAACCCATTGTTTATTAGGTAGAACATAAAGAAGATTTAGAAAGCAAATTTTTTGAAGTGTTATGCATTGAATTCTGGGCCACACAGATGGTAAGCAAGTACTCTACAACTGGGCTACATACTCAGCCCCCAGAAACCAAATCTGTTATCTTAGAAAGTCACTTATATCATATCATATAGGATCTTCCCTCTCCTCTTTTTGTACAGTCCTGTAGAGCAGGAGGAACCTAAGTAGATTTTTGAGTCCTTCAATTTTGTTTTGAAGTTAAAATTGTTAGCTTCCTTTCAGATCATTGACAAGACCAGAGATAAATTTGTAGAAGGAAAGGGTTTATTGCTTTTCTCAGTTCTTGGTTCAGGTGCAAAATCTAAACTCATTTTGGAAGAGTGGTGACATGTTAACAGATATTGATACTCCTTCATAGTCTCAAAGCCTATTTGTTGACATATACATTCTACTGGCCTGGTTTATTGTCACTGTGGCCTGAATCAGGACAGTGAAAAGCTTGGCTATACAAATCCATCTGACAACTATGTCAGTTATAACAGAAGCTGCAATTCCCAAGTCTCAGGGGAAGTCACGCCTTGCTGGAATGACTAAAGCAATGAGAAAGAAGCAGACAGGCTTGGGTTGCCTAGCAAAATAGCAATTTGAACACAGTGACTCACACATCATAGCAAGGGTTGGGGGAAATGAAAATAACTGATACATTTTCTTGTGTTCCAAGTTCCATTTCAATGGAAGAAATTTGAAAACAAATGAAATGATTGTGTGTAAGCCACGTTGACTATTATACACAAACACTATTCAAAATGTCCACTGTTTTTCTTAGAGAAATTAGAAGCAAGAATCTTTACTTTTCAATGTCTTGAGTTTAAATATGAGGCTGAACCTCTGGGAAAATATTAGATGAGAAAAGGTTATACTCAGGTATTTCTGTATACCATGTGTACAAAGATTATATACAAATAGATGCCTGAATGGTACAGTTTGAAAGTATTAGGAAGGTCCCTTGTTTTAATCACTGACTACCCTGTAAATTAAACACTGAGCTTGGTAGGTTATACTTGCAATCCTAGCACTCAGGATGTTAAGGCAGGAGGACTATCATGAGTTCAAGGCTAGTCAGAGGTACAGGGCTTTGTAGGACACCCTAAGCTACAGTGTAATTTTTTTTTAATCTAAAAGAACAAAAGATGATAAATTTTAAGAACCTACCTAAGAGCCCGATATTTAGTGTAAAGAAGGAAAGTAAAGCTAATTTACAGAATACAAGAACACCACAGGGAAGTGCACCCAGGTAAAGCCCCTGCCCTGGCTTGTGCAGTTGAGATGCTTACCCCCTCTTGTGGCTTTCATTTCACTCTATACTTTACTAACTGCTCCAGATGGAGAGCGAATTACCATTACTAAGGACTGGGGACACAGTCCAGAATTTAGAATGCTTACCTAGTGTGTTCATGCTCCCCTCATTTGGTCTGTGGAATTGTATTCAAAATGGCTGAATGGGAGAATACAAGCAGCACCAATTATTTCACAATAATAATTTTCCTTAAAAGTGGATATGTTTTTTATACTTTTTAGCTGTCTTTTTCTGTTTTGCTAACCCCATCCCCAACTATGGAGGCATCTAAAACATCTTCCTTAACCACTTGGTTATTACTATTTCACAATGTAAGAATTGGATATTCTTTATTACAAGTATCAAAACTTCTATACAGATGAGAAACAAACAACAAAAAATAAATTTTAGGAATGTTTATTCCAACCATCCCATTCCCCCAAGCTACCCCCAATCTCCCCTTCTCACGTTTCTTACCCCATTTCCCCTTGGCCCCATGCCACCTCATCCTTAGTTCCCAGTTTTTGCCCGGCAATCTTGTCTACTTCCCATATCCAGGCGGGTGACTATGTGTTTTCCTTTGGGTTCACCTTCTTATTTAGCTTCTCTAGGATCACAAATTATATGCTCAATGTCCTGTATTTATGGCTAGAAACCAATTATGAGTGAGTACATCCCATGTTCATCTTTTTTGGGTCTTGGATACCTCACTCAGGATAGTGTTTTCTATTTCCATCCCTTTGCATTCAAAATTCGTGAAGTCATTGTTTTTTACCGCTGAGTAGTACTCTAATATGTATATATTCCACACTTTCTTCATCCATTCTTCCATTGAAGGGCATCTAGGTTGTTTCCAGGTTCTGGCTATTACAAATAATGCTGCTATGAACATAGTTGAACAAATGCTTTTGTCATATGATTGGGCATCTCTTGGGTATATTCCCAAGAGTGGTATTTCTGGTTCTTGGGGTAGGTTGATCCCGAATTTCCTGAGAAATCGCCACACTGATTTCCAAAGTGGTTGCACAAGTTTGCATTCCCACCAGCAATGGATGAGTGTGCCCCTTACACCACAACCTCTCCAGTAATACATGAACTGGCTGTGTGGGAGCCTAGCCTGTTTGGATGCTCACCTTCCTGGTCCTGGATAGAAGTGGGAGGACCTTGGACTTTCTGCAGGGCAGGGAACCTGGACTGCTCATCATTCTCGAGAGGGAGGGGGAATGGAGTGGGGGGAGGGGGAGAGGGGTAAGGCAGTAGGGGAGGGGGAGATGTGTGGGAGGAGGGGGAGGGAAATGGGAAACGGGGAGGTGGTGATAATTTTTCAAAAAAAAAGAATGTTTATTAACCATTTTTAAGTCATGTGCTAGGAAGTGATCATTTGGATGTTTGCACCCTTACCTGAAGCTCTAGGGTATACACTCTCTCCATGATGGGATGTTGTCCCTGAACATATGCATACCTGCTTTGTATCTGGGTCACTTTATGATATTTAATGAAATGGATGGGTTGAATTGTTTATAGAACTGTCCTATCTGTAGGACTAAATAGCTCAGCATTGTAAGAAATAACTCATTTTTCCTTTTATGGAAAATAGACTTTTTTCTTTACCTTCCATTGTGAATTAGAGAATTAAAAGTTATTACCCTACTTCTTAATTCTTGTGAACTAAGCAACGATATTAACAGAGATTAAAGACACTTTTTAAAGATAAATAACTCCAAAGGCTAAAGGATTTTATTATACATTGCAAAATGTATATTATTATTATTACTGATATTATTATTATAGTATATTATATTATATTAGTTCCTAAGTTGTTTTTGGTCTCACATTTCTAATCACAGTGCTTGTTACCTGTCAAGGTCCTAGGAACTGAGTTTTTCGGGTGGCTAAATGTCAGTTGTTGGGGAGAAAAATAATTGGTAAGGAAAAAAATCCTAGAATGTAATTCCCTGAAGTAGCTTTTATCTCACATACATTAAAATGACAGTATTCGTTGTGAGGTGACTTTTAAATAAATAGCAAAGAAATTTCTTTGTGAGATTAATGAATTTTGGTAATGTCATCGAACTGCAGAATTGTGAGCCTTTCTTTTCCGCCACTGCTGGCTCAGTCAGTACCATTTGTTGAAAAAAAATAGTTTAAACTACAACACTTTATACATTTTTTTCTAGTGATTCATCCCTATAATTAGGCAACCAGACTCTAGGAGAGTAGTTTCTTTACTAATTCCAAACCAATGGGTGATTTATTCAAACTTTATCAGCAGAGAGAGCAGGCTGCAAGTCCTTCCCTAAGTCTTTTCTTGCTCTCCCAATTTCTAATCACAGTGTTTGTTACCTGCCATGGTCCAAGGAATCAAACTTTCTCAGTAGCTAAAAGCCCTTCATTGGGGAGCAAAAATTGTGAGGCAAAAATTCTAGAATGTAAGTCCCGGAAGGAGCGCTGATATTATCTCATCAATCTCCCTTATTTTATCCACGAAAATACTGAGCTCTAGAGAACTCATACCAAGTTATTAAAGAAATTGGTCTTCACAGCTTTTTCTCTTTCCACCTCATCTTCCTGTCCCTAAGCATCTTCAGTTACTTGCTTCTTTTTCCGACACGTTCCACAAACCCAGATGGCCAGCTCAAGACTTTCCTTCTGAAAGGACTTTGTTCCTAGCATTTTTCTCAATACCGCCCACCACCCCACCACCCCAACCTCCTTCTTCCCAAATAAATATCTAAATTCCCTGGGATTTATTCCGTGCTCTTAGAACCTTGCTGTAAGAAAACCTGCTAAAACTCATCTGGGAAACTAATGTTAATGGTGTGAACTGGTTAATGTGTTACTGCTTCCAGGAATGATATTTGCATTTTAACAGAGACTGGGAATTTTAGATAGCCTAGTAGGGAGTATAATTCTGGGTGGGATGTCCCTTTATCCTAAAGTCACAAGATAGAGCTCTTCATTGTACCTTAGGCTAACATTGTCACCCAGAGGGATTTGTCTGTCTGGTAAATTAGTATATAGCTATATGCAAAAGGCTTTGGACACTTTTTTTTAAGCACCACCTCTTTAAAAGCCTTCTAAAGCGAAAGCGCCCGTGAAACGGGCCCTGCACTTCATGAAGGGAGTCTTTTGTATGAACAACAAGACCTCCAGTGGATCCTGACAGGTTAGGCACCAAAACAAACTCATTTTTTCCTTTTATATGCCAAATTAATTTAACTAAAAAGTCATTTGCCTATCGGTTTTCAATGCTTTACAGCTTTATTTAATCTCTCATGACCACTAATTTTAATATAGTTTTCCTTTTTGCCTTTCCTCTGTCTCCCTCTCTCTCTAACTCTAACTCTCTCTCTCTGATTTCTTTTTCCGTTTCTTCTGTTTTTTTCCACTCTTTCTCCTACCAAGCACCTCAAGCACAGAGAAGCTGTGGACGGGTTGGCTTTGAAAGTCTTATAGGAGATCCCGCTTTTCAAAGGGAAAATTCCAAAACCTTGTGTATGGCAGAGTCGTGGTCCTGTCTTCTAGGAAAATGCAATTGATACAGTTATACTCTCTCCATCAATGGGTTCTGCATCTCTGGATTGAAATGATTGCTTACTGAAAATGCAGTTTTAATTGGATCTGTACTGAACATGTATGGACTATTTTTTTTGTCATTGTTTTCTAAGCAATTTAGTATAATCACCATTTATAGAGAACTTACATGTATTAGATATTGTAAGTAATCTAGAGATAGTTAAAGAATATGGGATAATTGAAAAAAATGAAAATTTAATTTCAGGTATTATAAGTAATCTAGAGAGGTTTAAAGTATATGGGATAGTACATGTAGGTTAATTGCAAGCATAGTACTTTTATATAGGAAACGTCAGTGTTCATGTAGTTTGGGGTTCAAGTAAATAGGATGGATATAGTCTTTAAAATGTTATTTCAAGTTATACCTTTTATGTCTAAAATTTAAAATGTCATTTTCCTCCTCTGTACAATCTTTCCTTTTCTTCTTCAGTGCTGGAGTCAGAGTTAGGACCTTGTCCATTCTGAGAAAGCACTCTACCAACTGAGTGAGATATACTCAGGCCAATTCTCAGGTAACCTTATATCTTCTTTCAAGCTTATTGTGTTTGTTATTTTTTTATTTTTTTTTTGTTTTTGTATTTCAAAATAGGATCTCATTATGTAGTCCTGGATGGTGTTGAACTTCCATAAATCCTCTGACACTGCCTCATAAGTACTAGTATGCTATCATGTCCAGCTGTTACTTACACATTTTTTTGATATGTTGTTCTGCAAGCAGGTCTTTTGTTTTCAAATACAGAGTGCCCTGAATAAATATCCTCTCACTTACACTCCTGCAGCAAGTGCTGGACTGTAGTCAAAGCATTAGAATTGCACTAAGGAGCTAACTAGTTAATGTATAAATTCCCGTTCTCCACCTTTGCTAGTGTTTTTTTACTCGGTGAGTCTAGAATGGAGCTCTGAAAAATGCATTATAAGAAAGCATCTACCAACTCCTATGACACTGATCTCAGAGCTACACTTTCTTTTTACACTTTTTCTTATGATATAGCCCAGGCTGGCACAGCATTCAAGATCTTCCAGCCTCAGCTTCCTCAGTGTTTGGATTATAAGCATGTGCTATTATGTGTGACAGACTTAAATACCAAGTGTTTTGAAAGGTTTAGTGCACTTTAAAAATGTCCCAATCTGCTGGGCGGTGGTGGCACATTCCTTTAATCCCAGCACTTGTGAGGCAGAGGTAGGCACATTTCTGTGAGGTTGAGGTCAGCCTGGTCTACAGAGTGACTTCCATAGCTACTGAGGGAAACCTTGTCTTTAAAGACCAAAAAATAAGTCCCGATCCAACAAACCGAGTGAATACTTGGTCAAATGGATTTTCCTCCTCGTTATTTTGCCTCGAGTTCTCTATAAAATAATGAAATTATGAGGGCCAGCACCGACGCATTTCTGTGCTTTTTGATATCACTCACTATGTGCAATGGACATAATTTTATCACATAGTCTCACACATGGAAATTCAATTGATGGAGGTAGAAGATGTCTTCAATATAGTCTACTAACATTTATTTTTATAGAGAGAAACTGTGGCTAGGAAGCAGAAAGTGACTAAATAAAAGCAGTACCTACACAGGACTAGTACCTAGTCTGTAGACTCAAAATGTATTACGTGTTTTTCTGAGAACTAAGTGTTCCATAGGTCAATCTTATTTCTTCCTTTGGTCCTATGTATTTTCATTGATTTATGTCAATTTGAGAGCATTTTATGAAGTTTGGAGGGCTCAAACAGGCTGAGCTATAGTTAAGGAAGCTAACAAGCAAGGGGAAGACAAAGAACAAAATAATTACAAATCTACTAGAGCACCAGACACCATCAGGGCACTTTACAATGTCTAATGCTAGGACCTGTTAGATTTTTGCTTGAAAACTAGACTCTATTTTTAAATTTTTAGATTTTATATCCTCATTAAATTTTGATAAAAATCGTCAAGTGGTGATATAGTTTCAGCTAAAATATACCAGGTATGGTGAAATGAATACTCTTGATAAAAAGTATTTTGGGCAAATTAACTTACCATTTCTAGCATTAAAAACTACAGACAAAGCTGGGCGGTAATGGCACATGCCTTTAATCCCAGATTTTTAGGAGGCAGGCAGACCGCTGAGTTTGAGGCCAACCTGCTATACAGAGCAAGTTCCAGGACAGCCAGGGTCACAAAGCAAACCTTGTCTTAAAACACCAAAACCTCAACCCAAAAAAGGCAATAAATTATTTTAATAAGCAAAGCATGCCCGATCACTTATTTAAAGTTCATTTCACAGCCCTCTGAGCCTATATTTATTTATTCAGCAATGGTAGTATAAAAACAAAAAATGGATATTAGTTATTAGATACCTTTCAGATCTATTGCGAAAGTAAAGGTAAATAATTGTTCCATCTCTTAAGCATACTTTTATCTTCTGAAATCTAAGCTACATTGATGACTGACTGTTTTTCTTATTTTGATATTTGCTGCCTAAGAGATTTTTTTAGCTCTTAATTATATTATAAAATATATTAAATACAGTAACTAATTTGAACTTTAATACATTTTATAAAGTGCCCAACTCTCTGCCAGGTACTGTGAGATTGAAAAGCAAGCTATAACACTTATACTATTCTAGCATTCTGTCACTAGCAACATGCTATAAAACCGGCCATCTCATTTTACCTTCTTTGTCTTGTCTTTTATCCCAAATATATTTTAGACAGAGCAGGCATTATTCTCATTGTAGATGATTCAAAGGAGACTATGGGAAAGATGAGGCTAAGTAACTATAATTCGTGATTTACTTGTTTCTCAAACATAAGTCTAACACTAAAGTAGAGGTCTGACACCAACAGAAATGTTCTTGTCTTCCTACCCTAGGCACTGAGCTGCTCCTTTTCCCTTTATAATCAATATTACTTTGTCCCAAGCCTGTGACCCAGTCCCTTAAGTCACCTTGCTCTTTGATAATAAATTTCTCTAAGGTGTTGGTGTTAATAAGTGTTAATGAACAAAAGCATTACCTTCTCAGGGAACACGATTTACATTTTAACTGGAGCTTTTAGAGAACAGCACTTCATTCTGTTCATATCACCACCTGGACAAAACTTTCAAATCCTCCTCATTGTCAAACTAGTTAATTTTAAAAGCATCAACCCTGTGGAACAAAGTCCCCACAATTTACTCCTAATCTAAACTTGCTAAAGCCTTTCTCCCAGAAATCTACCCCATGTGTCCAGTAAACTCGACTATTTCCTTTGCCTACATAATCCCACTAGGTTAAAACTTCTCCCCATAAATGCTTCTCTAATCTATGCCCCTCCTTCGGCATTTGCGCTATTATCAGCCAATCTTTAAAGGACTTTAGATTAGTTGGTAGAGGATTAGAAGAAGAATTGAAGCAAACAGCAGGACCAGGAGTGTCCATCCAAGTAAGAGAGTGGCAGAGTTTCCACTTTCGGAACCGGGAGGATAGAAGGGTTTTAATCAGAAGCCTTACCAGTTTCATGGCCTTGGCAAAGGCTGTGAATGGAAACGTTATATCTAGTTATCCTGGGTGGAAGACTTTTTCTGCTTGCAGCCTGTCCTGAAAGAGAGAGATTCTGAGTATCAGTGCCTCAGCAATGTAAAAACGATAGAGAATAACCAATCATAGTGCTCAGAAGGTAGAGCCCTCTAGAGTTTAGAGGTTAAACTATGTGTTTAGAGTCACGTAGCTACTAAAACTGCAGTAGAGCCAGGACTTAACTCACAGTTTACTGCTCTGGAAGCTTCCAAAGAACTTTGCCCTGTGATGATATACGTTGTCTGTGTACCCTTGGTCATCTGCCCTCATCCAGTTTTTACCCCTGCCCTAGAGTTTATCTATAACTACTCTTTAGCCATTCTCTTAAAATGACTTTCTTTCCACTCCTGGTCACAGTAAGGAAATAGGAATTCACCTTCTTAATGCACTTTAGTGCTACTTAAAGGTGATTTATTTATCTGATTAATGCACCCAAGTCTCAAGGGAGTCAGACTTTTAATATCTACATTTGTTTTATAGATCCTGGTAAGACTATAATGTTTTAGGAACAACTGTGCAGTAATAGAGTTTGTTGGTACACGACTGATCTTTAATTGGAATTCTACAGCTCTTACCTCTAGTCTTCTAATACACTTTCTTCCTTTGTGAAAATTGGTGACCTTCATAATAATCATACATTAATTGGGGAGTTAGGAATGTCTGACAAATAGCTAAAGCAAAAACATAGGATTAAAAGCAGATTTTATAATCATGAGTTACTAATTTTATGCTTCAGTTTCAAATAATATATCTTGATGCCTTAAAATATGAAGAAAAATACTCTTATGTTTTGTGCTTTCTTCCACCATTTTATGATTCTATGATATTTTCACACTTCCTTAAGTTATACATATATATGCACAAGTAATCACAATACATATTATTTACAATTTTATCAAGTTATGTTACCTTTGTAGCTTAATGTATAACCTTAAACCCTATAGTTTATTATTGAGGCTATGATTAAACAGACTAAATATTTACTACCAATCCTTTCTCTATAGTTGACATCTTCTTTTCTGTTGGTTAGTCATTCATCAATAACTATTTTAATAATATATTTTACCATTTAGTAATTGTTTTTTTTTCTCCCCCAAGGAGGATTCAGTGTTGCCATTTATTTTTAATTATTTCAGGCTTTAAAATATCTATTAAATCAAGTGCATGGACTTTCATCTACAAGTCCAGAAGTTAACAAATTGAGAAATGGGTACAGTGATTTTTTTTTTGAGGCCAGTCTGGATCACATAGCAAGACTGTCTCAAACAAACAAAATGAAAGGAAGAAAGAAAGGTACAAAAAAAAGAAGTAAGAGTAGTAAGAAAGTAAGGATGGAGGGAGAGAAGGAAGAAAGAAATTGGCAGTGAGATGGTTCAGTGGGCATTTGCTGCAAAAATCTGACAACCTGAGTTCCATCCCTGGAATGCATGTAAATGTGGAAGGAAATAACTAACTCCACAAACTGCCCGTTCACCTCCATCCATGTGCCCAGCAGCACACATTCCTATACACATATATCATAAAGTGTCATACTCACACCACATGACTACTGCTGCTAATACTGAAATTTACATCATCAAACAACTTAGCTAGTACTTTTGATTCACTCTGTGTTTTGTACCTTTATAGATACTTCTCTTTTGCCTTCTGATATTAGCTGTATCTGAAGGGATGCAACATATCTAATGTCAGACAGGTTTTTTTTTCTGTATACAGGACTTTCTTTCTGTTTTTACCTGTCCTGTTTAACATTTAATGATGCAATTGGGATTCTACTTTTTCAATTAATATATAAAATTTACTTGAATGCAGAATATAGTCTCTAGATTTACAAATCAAATTCTTGCATTAGTTTAGGAATTTTGGTTGTTAATTTATCTCGTGCTCTATTCCATTTGTAGACATTTTTTTCTTTATTGTATACCTGCTAGATCATCTCTGTTATTCCTCTGTATCATTTTCTCTTTAAGGATATTTC